GCCCCAAAACATCAAAGACGAAACAAGTATTGACTTGAAAGGCAGATAGAAAATTGAAATCATCATTTCAGTGAAGTCAATACAGAAATATTTCCTGCATTGTTAACCTTGCAATTTGGTCTAGAGGAGAGTAAAAAATGGATGAGCGATAGGTCACTCTGAGTAATGTGTGGGTGCTGTTAAACTGATCACCAACTCATCAGTGGCCAACAGGTGAAGAGTAATTTCTTGGGATCTCAATCAAAGATAAAATAAATAAGCTATGCAGAGAGGCAACTCTTGAGTACCCCTTGCTCCATTCCCCACCCCCACTGTTCTATCTGCCACAGCTTTTTACAGCTAATATCCTGGTGAAGATATTCATTTTTTTCATGTTTCTTTGTAGAAATGTTATCATATTTTATTGCTACTAAGCTATTTCCCAACTGGCTGTGTCAGCTTGGGCCAGTTCCTTACACCTCTAGTTCAAATTACTTACCTGGAAAATAAACATATGATGTGGAAATATTCCTAAGACATTTCCAGCTCAATTGCCCACAAGTTTGTTAAAACAAAATCTATAACCTTGAGAATATGCCAGGACTATGGGGAAAGGCCCAGAGGGGACAAGGCTAATGGGGCAGATTAGCTGTGACCAAAGCTCCGTGGAGCATGACCCCAGAGAGCAGGTGCCTGGAGGCGTCCTCCACCTAATTGTCTTTCTCCCTTGCTCTTCTGCCCTTGATAATAAATATTAGAGGACTCCCCACTTGTGGGCATCTCTCTTGCTGTCAGTGAACAACCTGTTTCATGGCTCACAGCTCCTATTCTGAAGTCAACTGGGTCCATCCTGGAACATTTTCAGGAAAGAAATACACTATTTCCATCCCTGGCAAGAAGTGTGTATTCCTGAGGGATCTTGGTCAAGGTGAAAAGCAAGATTTAGAAATAAGAGAGGACTGTGTGCTGTCTCCACAGCTGTGTATGGCACCTAGCAGGGACTGTGGGGAGCAAGGAGTATGACACTTGGTCACTTGTGTTCTTCAGCACTGCCCTCTCCTTCCCTTTCCTGCCCCCCATGGTGGTGTCTTCCTGTGGAATGTTCCCTCATCCAAATTCCCTGACCTCAGAGACAAGAATGATGTCAGGTATTACTGTGGGGTTAGGGTTGATGATGAGATATAGTTCTGTAATTTTCAATGACTTAATACTGAACTTTGTCACCTTGTGGTTTTCTATACATGAACTGGAAATAATGTTTTATCTAGAATCAGTTGAGTTTGTTTCTGTAAAGATGGAAACATTGCAAACATTAATAATTGCATTCTGAACAATGATATACTGAATTCAGGGGGAATTTCCTACTGTCAAGGCAGGCTTCTCTATGGAAAGCTTCTTTCTTACCATGGACAACCCTCTTTGCATTGGTTATTCCCTTAATGAATCTGCTTGATAATAATAATAACTTAATTTCCTTTTCAATACATGGCTTCAATTCTGAGTAGCAAGAGAGGAACTGGTCCCTACATAAGGGACAGCCAAAGCTCATGTACAGCATCTTTGGTCTTTGGAAAGACCAATGAGGGCCCCCACTGTAAAACCCGGTTGTATTGATCTTGCCAGGTTTTCAATATTTCTTATACCTCATTGTTGTTTTTCATTGCACCACATCCTGACTTTTCATCTACTCATACACTTATCATGACTAAGGTTGTAATTTCGGGTAGGGTATTTTGTTGGCTAGATTGACAGTGTGAAATTTCATTAAGATTTATATCAGTCAACAATTCTTCACAATTTTCTTTGTAAAATTCATCAAAGAGATGAATATATTCACATATTTTTCATCCAGCTGCCCAAATTTTTAGAAGGTAAAATTTCTCATGATTAACTGAATCAGTTCACAAAACACACTGTCATTTTGCAGAGATGGGCCACTCATACACATTTAGTTATGGCTTCCTCTGTTACCAGGAGGTAATAAATGAAAGCAATGCGGTCCCAATGATTGGTCAAAACTTGACATTGTACTATGGGATGTGCATTTTCCTTAAAAATGAATCCAGTGCAGGGCCTCCCTGCTGGCGCAGTGGTTGAGCACTGCCCGCAGCCTCTGCAGCGCTGGTTCAAATCCCGGCCGCCGGGCGAGGTTCCCACATGGCGTCTAACCTCCCCTGCCACCCGCTGCTCCTCTCAGCAGTGGACTTTGTTGGTCTGCCTGTTCTCTGTTCTGCTCTCTGTTCTGACTCTGGTGAATTCTCTCACCCTCCCAAGCTTCTGACTGTACCCAGTGCTTGTATATATATATATATAATGAATGAATCCAGTACAATAGGAACATAACATTTACTGTAGGAGGTTTTTAAGGACAAGGCAGCCTGGTCAGTGGGTTGTGTAATCATTCCTGTGCTGGTTGGTCCTGGTATAAGTGAGAAGCAGCCACAGTAAGTGGAAGTGGGGAACCTAACTCAAGGAAATGAAATAGACAATAATTAATGATGTTATTAGTAACATTTATTGAGGTATTTGTGTTCACCAAGAACTGCTCGAAGACCTTCTTGGTTACCTCTCATTTCCTAATGCAATGATAGTTTTCAGGTATTTATTAACTTTACAAGTGAGGAAGGTGATATGCTGAGATAAATAATCTTCATACTTTTTATATAGATAAAATGACAAAGTACAACTTGGAGCCCAACTCTCACATTTGAGTGACTGTATTTTAAAACACTGTATTTTACACCAGTGTTTGTGTGGGGATTTTTTTTATTTTTATATTCCCTAGACAATTGCAACCCCAATTTTGACCCAAATCCCTCCTTCCCTCCTCTCCCCAAGAGTGTCTCTGGTTCATAATTGTTTTTTGATTTTGAATTTTTCCTATCTTGTAGTTATTCTTTCTCCTGGTCCATATTTAAGTTTTCTAGATTCCTGCTATGAGTGAGAAAAAATACCATCTGGTATTTTTCTTTTTCTTTCTGGCTTATTTCGCTGAGCATGACCCTTCCAGCGCCATTCACGTTGCTGCAAATTACATGTGTTAATCTTTTTTGAATGCTGAGTAATATTCCATGGTGTACCTGTACCACATCTTCTTGATCCACTCATCTATTTTTGGGCATTTGGGTTGTTTCCAAAGCTTAGCTATTGTAAACAGTGCTGCTATAAACATAGGGGTGCAGGTGCTCTTTGGAATGGATGTTTCTGTGTCCTTTGGGTAAATACCTAGTAGTGGAATTGCTGGATCATATGGAAGCTCTATCTTTAGTAGGTTGAGGAATATCCATAACCGCTCTCCATAGTGGTTGGACCAGTTTGCACTCCCACCAGCAGTGCAGGAGAGTTCCTTTCTCTCCACATCCTCGCCAACATTTGTTGTTGTTAGTTTTTTTAATATGTGCCATTCTCACTGGTGTGAGATGGCATCTCATTGTAGTTTTGATTTGCATTTCCCTGATTGCAAGTGATGTTGAACATTTTTTCATATGCCTGGTGGCCATTTGTATTTTCTCTTTGGAGAATTGTTTGCTTGTTTGTTTGTTTGTTTGTTTGTTTTTTGGCTTTCTTGGGCTTTTATTGAGCTGTTACATATAGAGCAGCAACCAGGGTGTTTTATGTGTTTTAATGGCAACAAACACATCCTAAAGTGTAAGCTGCCCCTTTGTATTTTCTTTCTGGTTGAGTTCCCAGATGAAGATGTACTATGTTGGGAGTGTTCTCATGACATCTGGGGACAAGGATAGTTGCTGCCCCTTGGGTAGACACTCACTGCCGGGGCAAGAGTCATATACTTTGGCTCAGACATGCAGGTCTTCATTTTCTGTACTGACTCAGTGAAGAAGGACAAAAGAATTCTAGAACCTGCCTCAGTTTCCCAGTTCCCATGTCCACTGCCTAGATATCCTGACATTTATGAGCTTAAGTGACTGTCTTTTGTAGGCTGAGTCTTACACCTGGAGATGACAATGGACTCCGTAGTGACTGAGAATCCAGTAAGACCATGCACAGGCGCTGACGGTGGCTTTGCCGGTGGAGGGTCAGATTTTTAAAAGTATCACTACTTCAGGAACTCTCCGGTGGCACAGCGGTTGAGCGCTGGGCTGCCAAGCTGCCTGCAGCCTCTGCAGCACCGCTTCCATCCCCAGCCGCCGGCAAGGGTCCCACATGGTGCCCAGACCTCTCCTGTCATGCCTGCTTCTCCTCTTAACAGTGTACTTCGGTCCTTCTGCCTGTTCTGTTCCCTGCTCTGGCTCTGGTGAATTCTCTCACCCTCCTACACTTCTGACTGTACCCAGTGCTTGTATAAATAAATAAATAAATCTTAAAAAAAAAGTATCACGACTTCATAAAGATACAGATAACGCTTCTAGACTACATAAGTTATAAGTATCCCTGAATTAATTATGACAAACTGTAGCTTCAAGGATTGGAGACTAAAGCTCTACCAACTGTGTATTATCTAACTCCTCAGGAGGTTTCCTGGAGTCACTAGTTAAGTCATATCCATTTCCCAACCACTACTGGGCATGTGCCTCCTTCCACGACCCTGTTGCAGATTCCTGTTTCTTTCCAGAGCTTGTGACACAGGAAGACACTTACAAAATCGCCTGCACTCCCTTGTTATACATTGTTTGAATATTTATTCTCAAGGTGATTTTAACAAGCACCGACTGAACATCCTCATTTTACACTGAGGCTTCACAGGATGCAGCATCTTCCCCAAGCACTGGTCACATGGGGCTGCCTAGTTAAAGTGACCATCTTCACCTGTGCAGATAGGACAGTTTCTCCCTAATTTGGTGTAATTCCCATTGCCATGTCATTGTAAATTCGAAAGGGACAGAAGGAATCAAGATATTTTGGTGGATAAAGCACTGATGATGCCTCACCACTGTGTTTTGTCCCATACAGAGAGTGAGAGTATTTATGCAGAGAACTATTGAACGTAATATTGGTGATTATGCATATAGGCAAGATTCACTAAAGGTAAATGAATCTTGTTTGTATATTTAATAAGTTGCATGAAAGAGAAAAATGAAGAGTACTGTTTTCTGGTTTTTGCCAATGAAACCATTTTCTCTTTCATCTATTCTCAGCACATGATGCCAAACTGGTCCACAGGAGGGGACAGGAACCTCACGTCTGTGACCATGTTTGTTCTCCTGGGAATCTCAGAAGATAAAGAGCTGCAGCTTAGTCTCTTTCCAGTCTTCCTGCTGATCTACCTGGTGACATTATTTTGGAACCTGGGTCTCATCATCCTAATCAGGATGGACTCCCACCTGCACACACCAATGTACCTTTTCCTTGGTGTCCTGTCGTTTATAGACGTCTGTTACTCTTCTTCCATCAGCCCAAGGAGGATTTCAGACTTCTTCAAAGATAAAAAAGCCATTTCCTTCATTGCCTGTGCCAGTCAGTGTTTTGTAGCTTCCTGGATGGGTCAGGCTGAGAGCTGCCTCTTGGCTGCCATGGCCTCTGACAGATATGTGGCCATTGGCAAACCTCTCCAGTACTCATCCATCATGGAGCCTGGGCTCTGTTGGAAGATGATTGCTGGGGCTCTTGGGTGTGGTTTACTTTGTAGCTTAGTTGAAGTAGTCACTGGCTTTGAGTTATACTATTGTGGGCCAAGTGTCATCCAGAATTTCTTCTGTAACATAACTGAAATTATTAGTCTGTCTTGTTCTAATCCTTTCATCAGTCAAATGAGTCTTTTCTTGATTAGTTTGTTTTGTTGTTGTAGGTTCTCTGGTTATTATTTTGTTATCCTATGGTTTCATTGCAGCTTCCATCTTGAAAATATCCTCCGTCAAAGGTAGTGCCAAGGCCTTCAACACCTGTGCCTCCCACCTGGTGGTTGTTACTCTCTTGTATGGCACAGCCCTCACTGAGTACATGCATCCTAGTTCTGGCCACTCCAAGAAACAGAACAAGTTTCTTTCCGTTTTCTATGTTATCATCCCCATGTTAAATCCTTTTATCTATAGTCTGAGGAACAAGGATATCAAAGAAGCCCTCAGGAGGGTGATAAAGAGTGTTACACTTACACCTCAGTAAGAAAAATATTTTGTAATGTTACCTGAACAGTAAAAAGAAAACATAGGAAATTAAAACAAAAAATAATATGAAGCCAGGTTTCTGTACTCCTAATGGAAATCAGTGGTCACAATATGTAAGTGTTCTCTTGAAGATCATAAGAATATCTAATAGAGAAGGTCAAAATGGCGTCCTGATTCCTTGTGCCCTATGGTTCATGGTGTCCATGCAGGGATGAGGCTGAGCAGTAGCTCCAATATGGCGGGCAGCTGAAAGCCAGTTTGCATGATTAGATTCATGTAGATAAAGTGTGTGTTAGAGATCAGAGGTTCTACTTTATTTTGTATGATGAGAAACGAGAAGAAACTAAGATATCACACAAACTGTTCTTCTCGAATTTCTTTTACCTAGTTGTCATATATTTATATTTTCATTAAAATGTAAAAGAATGTGTAAGTAATGACATTTAAAAATTGTGGAAAAAGGGCCTCCCCGGTGACACAGCGGTTGAGCGCTGGGTTGCAAAGCTGCCCGCGGCCTCTGCGGCGCCATTTCGATCCCCGGCTGCTCCCCGGCACCGGAGGAGGGTCCCACGTGGCGCGCAGACCTCTCCTGCCGCCCGCTGCTCCCCTCAGCAGTGTACTTCGACAGTCTGCCTGTTCTGCTCCCCACTCTGGCTCTGGTGAATTCTCTCACCCTCCCGCGCTTCTGACTGTACCCAGTGCTTGTATAAACAAACAAATAAATAAAACAAAAATAAATAAAACATGCCTCTATAAAAAAAAAATAAAAAAATAAAAATAAAAAAATAAAAATCGTGGAAATGAACACTTAATCCTGTAGATGGGGTGGTGGAGGAGGAGCAAAGCGAGTGCAACTGCAGGGGTGGAAAGATTAGTCTTGTTTAATTTCCCCCCACAACGTATTTCCTCTACATTATTCTTGAGTCACCTTGTGAGGTGAATTGTGAAATAGAGATGGGGAAAGGAATGAAATGCATAAAATAAAGGTTCTAGAAATACTAAGAGGCCAAAAAGAAGCCAAATGCACAGGCGCACCTGCATCATGCTTCACCGCAGCTTCCTAGAGACACTGAGACTCAGAAGTGATGGCCGCCATGTTGTGTGTGCAGAGGCTGGACCTGAGTGCCCGAAATCCGAAACTCCCAGGATTCCAGGGCTTCAAGTTTGAACAAGAAGCAGAAGATTCAGCAGACTTGGGTGTGTCACAGAAATGTAGATTCCAACCAAGTGAATTTATAGAAAATTGACAAGGACGCATTTTCTCCAGACTAGCATTCCTGGAGTGTCACACATATTACAATAACATACATCCAACATTTAGACCTTATGTAGTTCCATGTATAAATATGATTTCTTTATGTTATTCATGAAGTGAGAAATAATCTCCCTATATAGGTAGAACCCTGACTAATGAATCCATGTTCTTCCCAGATAGCAACAATCTATGATCATCTTTGTAAGTGATGGCTTTGAAGCATTGGCAGGTGGGATTGTAGACACTGATGCCAGTTGTAGTAAAACAAATTTGTTCTTTAATTATCAGACCTGTGATTAGTAAAGTCATCTCTAACAAACTTCATAGATAGGGACCCTTATGCAGGCTACTTAAACACATATTTTTCTCACTTCTCCAGTGAGAAGATATTTGCATCTTCCTCAAAAATGACAAAACAATTAAGTGAGAGGAGGCAGGAAAAAATCAGCCCAGAGCCTAGTATATAGTAATACTCAGTGAATGTTAACTTATGCAATCAGTGATCAGCCAATTTTATTATAATTTCTTACATGACAAGAGAAATCTTGGTAACGTGATTAAAAGAGAGAAAATAAGAGCTTTGGAATATCTACTCCAAGTGGGATGTAATAGGTAGTAAAAAGCCTTTACTCCCACTTCTGCAGCTTCATTGCACAGGAGGCAGTCCTCAAGGAAGTGGGAGGAATTCAAGTTCATAGATGTGATCACAGGTGAAGATGTTACCATGGTTTTAAAACTATTACATACATGGAAATTTGACTTTTTGTCTGATCACTTTTTCTGCACCTTTCCTTCTATGGACTCTAGTTCACTAAACCTCTTCTCTCTCAATTTGCTTTTGGTATGAATGTTAAGTTATCCTTCTGCCAGAAGACATTGGAACAAAACAACTAAGAGATAAACAAATAAATTGAAGAAAAATGTCTAATGCTATGGATTCATGTGGATTTCTCCTTGATGATCATATTAAATTTCATTTTTGATGAACAAAAAAATCACATTATAAAGTTTTTATAAAGCTCTCTTTTGGCCACTTACATGTTTGCCTGAGATGGATATTTCCCTTTGCATTGAGAATATGTAAAGTAGCTTAACAGTCTGTCCAACTACCAAAAGAATGTAATACTGTGTCATTAATGATCATTCATTCTAATGCTTCTATGGACTGGTTGCAGGTTTGAACAGAGCAGAAATGATTTGGGATACACAGAAAACCACATTTTACCTAAATGTCCCAAATAGGTGCATTATTATGAGACATATTAGCAGAGATCATTAAACAGGATATTTTTGACACTAAAAGATTCAGGTGTTTTATAACTTGTTGAAATGTGGCAGCATTTAACTGTTTCCAGCGAAGTGTAGTAAAGTAGAGATGAATTTACTATTATACAATTTCCACAGTCCAGTGTGTGGATTAGCAGGGAATCAAATAGTGTTGGGAGGAGTCTCAATTCAATTCAGTTAATCTCCCTGTACCATTATCTGCTTTGCTATGAATTCCCAAAAGGGAAGGGGGTGGTTTCACAACTCACTCACTCTCTCATCTGACCACTATCACTTATACTAAAAGGACCCTCAGTGTTGCAGCATCTGAATAATTCTTGCCACATCATAAACAGTTAACCAATGTTAGTTGAAGAAATGAATTCATCATAATATTTGTCCAACTCTTAAATTTTGTCTCTTCACAGAGGGAAGGAGGCACAATGACTGTGGTTGTGGACTGAGGGGTGACTTGATGGTGAGTATACAACTGTGGTGGCACCTGGTCTGGGTCTTGCCTCCTGTTAGGTTACACAGGCTTATGTTTAAGTTCCAGAAGGCTTGAATGATCCAGGTCAGAGGGGGAATCTGGTCCTTGGACCTCTCGCCACAGTAGCATCTGCTGAAATGTCTATTGCCTCCTCAGATCCCCAGTTGTGAAGTAAGAAATGGATTGTTACTGAATTCTGTCTACCCCCATCTGAGACCCTGCTGCTCACACTCATGCTTGGTGAAATGAGAATTGTTCTGGGCTCCCTTCCTCAATTTTCTCATCAGAAACTCTTTGGAGCTCAAGTCCTCACTGCTCAGTAACTGTCTACCTGAACCCCCCATGACTTGTCTACTTGAACCCCACCGAGCTGTCTACCTGAACCCCCATGAGCTGTCTGCTTGAACCCCCATGAGCACATTTGCTTAAGTTTCTGCCAGTCAACTCAGGCAGTTAGGGCCTTTTTATTCTCGACATCTCTGAACTTGTTGAATAGTCGCGCTGTCTTCCTTGGGGCTGCCTCGAAGCCTTTCTGAAGACTCACTCATATTTTGACCTCCTCATCTGTACTTCAACTTCCTTTTGGTGTCACATCTCTTCTCTGAGATTTGAGAACCCAATAATGTACCTTCTTGAAGGAAGGGAAAGGCCAGAGATGTGGGGTAAGAAATGTTAGGTAAAATGTGAAATAATATTTTAAAAATATCTTGCTACATAGTGTTAAGTAAAAAATCTAAAAAGTGAGTTGGATGGAGATAAAACAAGAGACTAACTAGAAATGTCACAGGGCAGTTCCCAAAGGGAAATGGGATGGCCTGGGTATGAACCCTCACCTGCATGCTTAAAAAAACACACAAGACCCAAGGGCTGGCACTAGAAATGTTCATAAAAGGTTTATTTACAAGAGAAATGAAAGAGGTGGGGAGAGAGAGATTAATTCATCAACGCATCCTACCAACAATGCTGCCTGAGCTGGGACCCCCGTACATGATGAAAGCCCTTCCAGCCCCATATGGTTTCAGTTTTATACCAAGCACAGCTGCTTATCTCCACCTTAGTTCCCAGCAGTACCCCCTGCAGGAAGTCAAGAATTGTGGCAGAGTCATGGCATGATGGGAGCTATAGTTCTCAATGCCACGGATATCTTTGGCATGAAGGTGGGGGTGGCGTTCATAAAACATCAGTGGCTGGAGCTCATTCAGAACGTACTGTTCCCCCAACAGAAGCATGAACAGACCATATGACTTTTGGACATTCTCCATAGCCTGGCCTCTGGCCAATGTAAGATGCCCTTCCCACGTAGTCTAGGGACCAGCAGACAAGGATTAGCCCCCATGTCTTGGGCCGCAGTATGAGAATTGCTAATCTTGCAGACCTGAAGAGAGAAGAGAACATAGTGGGGTGCAGGGAGGAGAAAAGTTTCCTTCTCTGTGCATAGTTTGGGAGATTGACTAGATATTTATCTTCTCAAAGTACTCTACATGCTTTGCCCAGTTCTCCCTCTTTGTCTCTCTGTCTCTGCCCTTCATACAATCTTGTTCTTCACTCCCTCTTCCTGTCAGACTCTTTCACTACTTTAAACCAAAGAGATGGTGTCACGGGAGAGAAGAGGGCTGTTTGCTTCTTCTTTTTATTCCAAATCTAGGAAAGTTCTTTCTGAACATGATCAGTCCATACAGATCTGTCTACAAGCAAAACAAATAAAACAAGAAGCCAGGGACTGAGACTCCTTCTACTGCCGCGCACTTGGCTCTGCTAGAGCTTTGCTACTTCCTGACCTTCCCGCGATGGAAGTCACTGGTGGTTGTTTCTAGGTTTTGGTGACATGATTTCTGTTATGGATAACAAGGTTAGAAGCAATCTCCATCCCAGCCCCCTGATTCCTTGAGTGTGAAGGGAGGATTTGCTGATATAATAATGTCTCCAAAGAGTAACCCGGTGCAGGGAGGTCTTGGCAAGGGGCCAAGTAGCAGAGCTTTTCTTCCTC